TGTTTAATTTATTCCAAAATGTATTCTTAAACCATATAAGCATTATTCGGTATCCGAAAAATATCCTTGATGAAATGAAACAAACAGTGTTTGTAAACTGTTAAGACTAATGATGTTTACATTAGAGATTCGGGAAAGGAATGTACATTAAATCAATGATCTTGACATGCAGTTGCTTTACTTTTTTTGTTGCCGTCCATATGGGAAACAACTACTTTTAACGTTAAACAGTACTTCCTGGGGATCATTTGCAAATATTATGTCGTTGCTTGTTGTATTCAGAAATACAGAAGAAATTTTGTTTAATATTTTGTGGCTTCTAGCTCCATCCTTGAGCTGCTTGTGGGTAGCTTGAATGCTCTACCAGCCTTATGCAGAATGTTGTTGCTCTGTCATACCTGCCTAACCAGCTTTCTCACTATCTTTCGTGTACGAACCATCTGTGACTATGAAGACAAATGACTGTCCACCATAGTCTTTAATTGGTGATGACAGCTTTTTCTGTTTCACCCTTTGACCTATCTCTAAATATTCTCTCTAGGCAGATTTCCAAAGATCCCAGTGGTGCATTATGTTTACTCCACATGGGGACAACTGATATCTGGTGGTAATGAACTGTCTCAGTGGTGGCTGTATAGCTCCTGTTCAAATATGAATGTCTCCTGGTTGCCTTTTAAGCAATCCCTTGTTTGGTTAGTGTCTGCATTATTGTTGCAGAGCTGGAATGTCCCAATTGCATAGGGTAGTTACTCAATGACGATATGTATAATCTTTATCCTGCAAGGTCCTAGTGAAAAGTTTTGTTTGTAAGAACTGTTGATACTTTGTGAAGCTGCTGAGGCTTGTGAAGGGTAATAGGTCTTTGATTCGGGTGGCTGAAGTACATCCCATGATCAGTTTTAGACATGTATATTGTATATTTTCAATCTAATTTAGCTGTATAGTACTCATACTGATTATTGGTAATACATAATCTAGGATGGAGCAGATAATACTTTAGTAGAGAATAAGCAACATACATTCTTCAGCTCTATTTGCTGCTGCCACTTTCAATCTATTGATGCTTTTGGTCGCACTTGTTTCCATAGTGTTAATGTGGATGATGAAGTTGAGTTATTTGTCATAGATTATCCCAAGGTATCTCAGTGTTTCTTCCAGAGGGATAGCAGTGCCCGCAAAGGATGGTGATTTGACCTCAGCAGCGTTTCTGTTGTTGAGTGTGCAGAAAATGGCTATGGCTTTGGCAGGAGTGATAACCATTCATGTGTCATTGTACCATTTGCTCACCCTGCTAATAGATGGTTGCATCTTCTTTTCTTAACTTTAGATTTACTAGAGCCACTGCTATAAAACAGGGTGTTGTTATCAAAAGTTAGCACATAGCATCTGGATGGACTGTCAAGGCAAGTAGATGATGAAGAAAACTGGCGATAATGCCATTCTTTGAGGCAGATGAGTGTTGATAGTGATCCAGTATATTTAGCATCTTCCATGCTTCAAGATGCATCTTCTGTTAGTGCAGCTATCACACACCTTACACGTGTTACACTGATTCCCATTCTAAGCATTTCATCACCAAGAATAGGGACTCCATTCTATACATTTTAGAGATTTAAACTACTGTCATGGTGTTTTGAAGAGTTTCAAAGCTTTCTCGTGTATCATCTGTGATTTAAGCAGTGTTGACCAGTTTTCTTCCACTGTGACAACCAACTATTGCTGATAGTAATAGTGGTTAAATATAATAAGCAAGCCTTCAAGTTACATGGCCTTCATGGAAGTGTTCTTTCACGGGTTTGAGTAAGGATTTGATAAAGGCATCAGCCTATATTTCAAAAATGTTACCTGTCGCTCAGCTACATTGATGCACCAATACGAAGTTCAACAGGCTTTGCTTTTGTAAGCTTCTTGCAGGTATAATTTATACGCCATCTCCTTTAGCTCAAGCTTTAGATATATTTATTTCTTTGTGTATCTTGTCCAAGCTAAAGAAGGCTTTATGTATGTAGTTGTAAATCAGACAGGGATTGCTTTATTTTGAGCCTATGCTGCACGTCACCATGGTCACATTAATTGATGTATCTGTGCATGAAGGCCTTGCCTTCACCTATATGGAGTTGGGTTCCGTCTTTATCGTAAACGTCTGAAATCGCCTTGTTTTTGGCTCCTGTGCCAGCCGTAAGCTAGTGGAGGCACAAGATTGAAGTGCTTGTGAAATTGGCCTTGCTGTATAGTTCATTCCGTTTCATGTCAAGTGCTTTGCAAGTTTATTGCTTGTAGAGAGCACTGGCTCTATTTCTTGTAATCCTTGCCTCCTCTGTCTGGGCTGGGTAATGCCTGATCCATATTAACTCAGAATAGGCTTGAATGAGTACTTTCCAGTTAGTATATATATGCTCCTATGACGGGCTGATATGTCTTAGTGACCACTAACTGGACCTAGTTGGACTACAGACCTGATAACATGTGAGAAGATTCTATTATTTTCACTTTTAAACTATATTTTCTGTATCCAAATGTAGGTTTTATTAGATAAGTTTTATTCACAAACTGAAAATAAGTGAAATAATTCAAGCTATAAATAGTTTTAGCATTTTAAATATTTCTATTTTATGACGATGTTAGCTTAAAAATATAGTTCCTATATTGTGGTCATCAAAATGATAAAATATTTAAACATTGACTCACTATAACAGGAATTTGTTTGTTTGAAGTTACGCACAAAGCTACACAATGGGCTATCTGTGTTCTGCCCACCACGGGTATCAAAATCCGGTTTCTAGCGTTGTAAGTCCGCAGGCATACCACTGTGCCACTGGTGGGCTAGAGCATGAAAGAAATGCAAGTTGCATATTTTGAGCATACTGCCATAAGATGTAGTTAAGCCAATATCTTGGATACTCGCTATGGTTCTACAAAGAATAAATTTGTTATATCTAAAATGATAAGCCAGTTATTGTAAATGATTAATAAAGTTAATTTAAGCAAAAATAATAATAATAAATAATTGTTTTAAAAAATAAACAAATTATACTGTGTTTTTCTTATTGTAATTTCGACTTGATGTTATATATACATGACTCTTTAAGTTCATGCGAGTGTAATGATCTAGATGGTTTATGTATAGCGTGAGTGTTAAATTTAGTTATTTTTAGAAGCGATAATTTATCACAGGCTTAATTACGAAACTGTGTACGAATCATACGTTGTGTAATTCAATTATTGTGAAGAGGCGCTTGTTGTATTATTGTGTCATGTTACTAGAAACTTCTAAGTTTTTCTCGTTGTTTCACTTGAGTATCATTGCACCATAATTGCATAGTGTGTGGAAGGTTCTAAGCCTCTGTTCATCTATACATACGTGTACAATATGTAGTTTGAGTTAGTTAGATAGATAGCTAGATCTAGACTGCGTGATCGTGAGTTTAACCATAAAGAGTGTATAGTGGCGACCTTTAAAGTAAAATTATCACAGACTGCATTGTAATAACAGAATACAGAAGAAATAATTTGTCTTGTCAATTGTGTTCTAAAGTAACTGAACCAACACGTGTGGACTTTAAAGAAAAGAGACAAGTATCTTAAGTTCTGGATACAACTGTTGTAGCCAACGGTGTAACGTAAGTGAAATTATCACCGATTGTATTGTAATAACAGAGCAGAGAAGAATAATTCGTCTTGTCAATTGTGTTCTAAAGTAACTGAATTGTCTGTGTGGACATTGAGGAAAGAGACTATTATTTAAAGCTCTGGATACAACTGTGGTGATTAACTGCGTAACGAACATTTGTATATCTTTCTTCACATTTCTAGATTAATAACCTCACAAGGCTAGCTTCGGATGCGATTCTAAATGTAGAATGTGTTTTTTAGTAGTTGAATGTGTTGAAATTCAACAAAATCTACAGAGTTGTGGTATTTCACGCCACGGTCTAAAACTTTCAAATTGATATTGGAAAAGTTATTCACAAAACATTATTGTGAACAACATCTTCAATATTTGAACCTTCAAGGACATATTTTTAATGACTGAATGAAAAAATTGGCTCAGCTAATTGTAACTCCGACGGAAAGCCAGACATTATCTCAAATTATATTACTGATAAGACTGAATCAGTAATAGATGAGTATAGTCCTATATAACAGAATGTCCATAGGCTCTCTATTTGTTATGTGGTTATAATTTCTACAACAACTACAGTTTATATATTAAAAAAGTAACGAAATACAACAACAATAGTTCCTATCTTTAAACTTGTGGTTTAATCAAAACCCTAATACTTTTTGTGAATTTAGAACTGAAGAAGTTTATCTTTGTATAGTATTTAAAATATAATATTAACCGGTGATACGGTAATATATATCTCTAGAAATTAACTTAAAAATCAATTAAAGTATAGAGAAATGTTTGCGTGCTCAGAGCATAAAAATAGTTTGTTTATTTTTATAGTTCAGCCTTTTGTTATTGTAAGATGCATATTTAAAGATAGAGAAAAAGCAACAAACAAAGGAAGCCATAAGGCAGTACTTCCCAAACTTTTTCAGCCCGCGGCACAGTTTTAATGTCCTAAACTTTTTGCGGCACATGTAAATAAGTCCGTATGGCATGACTAGTGGCACCCCCCCCCCCTGACTGACACAGCCAGAAATTACTGTTATAGTGTGTATCATTAATAATAAATTTACATTACTAAATATAAATTACTTAATTATTGCAAAACGTCTGCGGCACACAATTTAGAAAGCACTGCCATAAGGAATGTTTTGGTAAATGTGAAAGGTTTTACTATCTATGATAGGCTAATAACTGTAATTTTACTTGAATGTTAGATTATATCTTTCAACTTAAATTTCGGTGTTATCTTTGTGTTTGCTTCCTCACTACAAAGTACAACTATAATTAACCAAAACCTATTACAAAATGTATGATACGTTCATCAATATTAAAAAACCCAAAATGAATGTTTAGATTTTTCTTTACACACGTTCATAAGTCTACTTCTGAGTGGATTTTGCAGTTACCGTTCGTGTGTAAATGTTGGCCTGCTGCCAAGGCAAGTCGGGTTCAAATTTCTCAGAAAGCCTAATTTTAAAATACATAAACTTTATCCTATACTCGTACACAAAGAGGAAGACAGTACGACTAGGCGTGGTGCGAACATAAAATTAGTTACAGACTTGAACGCGACTCTAGGACAGAGCACCATGTTTGCAAAGAGAGAAAGAACTCAGGACTGGTTGTTTGTGCCAGTATGTAACAGGTACTGCATCTTTGGCTTAATGGCCTTATTGGCATTTGTATAGGACCAGAAACAATAATCCTTTGTTGCTCGTTCATATAAGATGTAGAAATCTCAGTGTACCTTTAATTAAGCAGGAAGCGCCTAAACTAAGAACTGAAAATGTAAAACAAATGCTAAGAAAGTTCATATTTGTTTATCTCGTCTTTGATAGTGTTCATGGTTTACAATATGTTTTGTTTATAATGCTCATGGCTTACAATATGTTATGTTTATAATCAAAACTTGTCATCCAATGGGTCTTTATTCAGTTTCCCAATTTTTACGTTACATGAAGCATTGTTGCTACATTTGGTCATCACATTTTAAATTCAGTGTTATGTGTCTGGTTAAATGTTTCGTACAGGCCTAAAACAAACATAACAGCCACTAAAGATGCGAGGCTCCTACGTTCACATTACCTCTAAAGTTGAGAAAATCACTATCATGACGTTGTAGAACCTAATACATAAATATTGGATGGGTCTAATCCTATGACTATAATGTGTTTAAGTAATAATTATGTGACAAAATCGGGCCAAACAAGCGGCACAATATAAAATACTTGTTTAGATATCAGTGTTCTCTGTACTCGTATGTCGTGCAACCCGCAAAAGCACTAAAATACTTGTTTAGATATCAGTGTTCTCTGTACTCGTATGTCGTGCAACCCGCAAAAGCACTAAAATACTTGTTTAGATATCAGTGTTCTCTGTATTCGTATGTCGTGCAACCCGCAAAAGCACTAGTATATTTCAGCAAAATCATTTTATCTTGGTATGGACGTAAATTTTCAGCATACTGCGAGATTATTTAATAATCTTACTAAGCAGGACCAGAACCTCTACTTTTCAATACATATACGTATGCACAGCTGCTATTTTAGACTTGGCCGTGTTTCAACTTTTCTGCAAGCGCTTTAGGAAAATAAATTTTCTCCTGCCTGTGAATGAAGTCCTGTCCGCAAAAGAGCATGCGTAGTTCATTGAGGGTAAACACGGATTCCCAATGGGAAAATCCACTTACTTCAGAGAATGCACGTTTAAACTGGAGATGATTAACGGTAATTGCTACTCTAGCACCACGTGACTTGTTGATATGTTATTGTCAGCTCTACTAATGTGTCCAGATTCAGATAATCTATATTTTTATCTGAATTTTAATAAGTGTTTTCAACCTGTTCAATAAAATGAACTTCAATTCAATATATATTCCACAATTTTTAAAATATTATCCTGGATTAATGAAATGGAAGACAAAGCCAGTATGTATTGTTGCGTAAAAAAGACCGCTGTACTGTCACAAAGTAACCTGACTCACAGTATGTACGTAGCTAGAACATAAAGATACCGTTTTTCTCTTTCTTTTTTTTTTCAAAACCTTTAATAAGTCGTTTTTCAAGCTTAACTCTATCACGTCATAAAATGCAAGGTAATTTCATCTCACTAGTGATTCATTTAGTGACTGTTGCTTTAGAATCATTATTCTTACAAGAGCTGAACGGGTTAACAGTGTCATGTTTCGTCAGCTATTATGTACTTTTCACACTAGCCAACTTCATAACTTAGAATTATATAAAATGACATCCATACTTTCAACTTTGAAATGTTTTAGATCATTTCTAAATAAAGCATTATTGGTTATAACCGTGACTCAAGTTGTTGTTTATTAAATCGATCAATTAAATTCTTAGCCAGGTTCAGCTCATCTCCCCTTGGGAGGAGGAGGTGGGGTGGGGTGGCAGTGGAGCTTTTCTTGACTCTCCTTAGTGAGTTAAACACATCATACGATTTTTTTAAAAACTGATAATATGAATCTTTAAACCACTAGGGAAAATGAAATTGGGTGGGCCAGAGTGAAATTTGGGGTTTCAAGGCTCACCCCAATACTTCCATAGCGCGGCCCTGTTCTGAACATTATTAGTTATCTCAGATTGTTCGATATAGCAAACTATAACATAAGCCTAATCAACTATTAATTAAAAAACAACATTAAGTAAAGTTTATTGCAAATAAATTCATTAACTTTGTATTCTAGTAGTGCTTTCACCTCGCATATCCACATAAAAGATTTCAAAGCTATTGCATGAATCATTCGGAACATTCGTGGTACACATGTAAACCATATGTTGTCAATTTGTTACTTTATGAGACTTTTTACTGAAAAACGTCTGCAACATCACCGTCGTATCAATAAAAATCATTTTATGGTTTACAAGTGTAATAGCAAAATAGTTCCTGTTGTCCATTAAAAAAAGAGAAATCAAAAACAGCCTCTTTTCGGAATTGCCTCGTTGGAAAAATAGTCTCGAGTATTACTTAATTGTTAATCTTCAATTCGCGTCTTGTTAGAATGTGTTACTTTCTTCTTGTGTTGGTTTAAGCAACAAGCACCTGATGACATCAATCAGTAGACATCTCAGGTTAGACATGTTTGTCAAATCAGATTATTAAGCACGTGATGGAGAAGTAGATTATTATGGACGGTAAAATTGAAGAATTTTGGCTCTCTTTCAACAGGTTTCAAATGTATGTTTAAAAAAACAAAAACAAAGTAAATAATCAGTATTTAGTCTATTCACGAAATTATATCACATAACCCATCGTCTTAGAACACCTATATATTCTGGATATATAGCTTACAAACTATTGATTACATTAATTGTTGATAGGAGATTAAATCATCATTATAAAACAATAATGATTTTAAATATCGCAATACCGTTATCGGTCCTGGTTGTCAACTTATTGTCATGACGGATAATGTCTGTGGTATTAGCAACCAAATGCGTTGGAGATATCCCACCTATCAGACAATATCAAAACGCCTATGTCAATCTAGTCAGCCGTCATCGAAAGTCATTTTAAAAAATTATCAATCAAATAAGGGTACGAAGCTGAGTGCTTACATTGAGTTTAATTATTAGAAAATATAGGGTGGCATAATTTCAATTCATTTCTACTTTAAGAAATTTAAGGGTAACTGCCTTCCTACAACTGGCTGTAGACAGAGAAAGGCAGTAGAAGCTGAGACGTTGTGGGTGTAAGCACTCATCTTCTTACGTTCATTTGATTGATGATTTGTTTTTCTTTATGATTTTCCATGACGGCTGAATAGATTGACATCGGCGTTTGGATATTGTCTGATAGATGGGATATCTCCAACGCATTTGGTTGCTAATACCACAGACATTATCCGTTATGACAATAAGTTGACAACCAGGATCGATAACGGTATTGCGATTTATATATATATATATGTGGTGAAATTCGTGTGAATACTATGCTACAAAGCTAGTTAACAACTACAACTTTTGCTTTAACTTCATATATCAAAAGAATATCAACATATCCTATAAATTAAGTACGATGCATCATTTTTTTACAAATAAAGGTAACAGTATAAAGTTTTCTTTCGAACCTTAATTCTTCTGATTTTGTCAAGTTTAAAGACCAGTAAATTCCAGTGAAAAATTCCTCGAAATTTTTCGCGGAACATTATTGTTCTTATTTGTGACACAATAATATCTGGTCAACGTTAATTCCAAATGACTTGTTTATTACTGATTATGAAAATCCCGATTTAAAATATAACTGCAACTAATCAGGGTCCGAGGATTTTCAGGGGTTGTTTACAACTTTAAGATAAAAATAACTGCATAGTGGTATTTTAATGTTGAGGGAACTTCTGTATTAATAATAATATGATATCGAACCTTACAGTTTGAAGTTTAACCTCGACAGATATATTAAGCCCCCCACCTGGTAGGTCAACGGTAAGTCTGTTGGCTTATAATGCTACAAATCGAGTTTCGATACCCGTGGTGAGCACAGTACAGAGTCCATTATGTAACTTTGTTTATAACAACAAACAAGCCCCCTCCACAATGGCTCAGCAGTAAGTCTATAGGCTTACGAAGCTAAAAAGTGGGCGTCAATACTCGTAGCCCATAGCATAGCTTTGTACTTAACAACAATCAAATAACAAACAAAATATTCGACTAATATTGATGTATTTCGTTTTTGTGGACTTTTATCATATTTGGGAAGAATCATTTAAATAGCCTAACAATAATACAAATTATCATAACAATGATAACAGTTTGTCCCTGAAGAAGAAAGGTCCACCTTTCGAAAGCGCTCGGGTTATAGGGTTTTTATCATTTTGTATGAAGACTTCTTGAACCTACGTGTTTTTCGGACATCATGACCATAATATTCACTTACAAAGTATTAAGGAGGAAGTGATACACAGTACCTAAACATATCATGTCAATGTTTATCACACTCAACTCATTTATTTACCTTCACTCTCTCACATACACGTGAAATCTCGAAGTCACAAGAGTTATATTTTTACAGCATATTAAACGTACAAAAGTTCCTAGTACGGTGTTTCAACTTTCAACAGAATGTCGGTTGTGAAATATACTACTCGTTTTATTTCCATTTCCAATGGTCTGTGCACAAAAGGACGAGGTACCCCTAATTTAAAATCATGAGGCGTGCGAGTGTTTGTCATATAATCAAACTACGTTTCATTCCTCTTAAGATCTCGGTGATTATACGGGAAAGGTAGGAAGGGAAGAAGTTACACCTTTAAATTTGACTAGAGATGTGGCGAGACTTGAAATATTCTAGGCTACAGGTTACATAAATACAGTGTGCTATTATACTTTTGTTTTTTAATAGTATCTGCAAAAAAAACCGCCTTAAACTATAAAGTTAAGGAGGCCGTGTCACCTGCATTGTAATAACGGTAAAAATAATAAATAAAGCACTGTATAATAAGCTACCAAGCAGTATATCACGGACGTTCCTTTTTTGTTTTATGTAATTTGGTTAATTTATTCTGCAAAAAGTAATATATTTTAAACTTCTGTATAGTTCAGTATTCAGACGTTTTTACTTTTCCAGCTTTCTCAAATCTTGACACAAGAATATCACAAAGGATAAGTCCTATGAGATGGGAATTTCGCTTACAATCGACAGCCAAAAAAAGGTATTTACCCTGGAAATTGCCTTACCTGTAGTAGTAGTAGTAGTACAACCATAAGGTATATTGACAGAAATAATTATGCTAAAGCTTCAAGATCGTCTTTTGTCATATTTGAAATGTTTAAACCTTTTATTGTGTGATGCTATTGCACAATATGCAAATGATAATCACTGAACAAGTCTACACTTGTCTTATGTGTACTCTACACATATCGTAAATGGTTATACGTTAGAAATTACATTACCCAATGAAACTGAGAAACCTTCATAATTATGAGGCCAATAATGTTTCGTCACATTGCCTACTGATGGGTTTATAAGTCTCACACTGAAATATTATTAGCGGGACATGCATACATATGTATCGTTTGCCATGCGTCTGATTATCCTTTTCATGAACCTGGTGCTGAATATGTTAACTTGACTGCTTGGACTGACTAAATTTCAGTTTGATGACCTGCCTTTCAAGATTCTGTCTTTGAGGGACATACATGTTTGGATATGATACTTAACAATTCCCCACCTCTTGAATAGGAGTTTTGGTATTAGAGAACAACGACGTATCCATCCTAGTTTAAGAAAGTGCGCATATACAGGATGGTGCCAAGTTATAGTACGTCCAAGCAGTGGGAACTGATCAAATCAATGACAGATACATTGTGTCGATCCTTCGTTCATTCATATCTAACTAATGGCAAAATTATTATACAGCAATTATACCTCACATATTTCAAAATGAATGTGAAAACATTTCCATCTGAAACAACCAAATGACGAGTCTGATGTGTGTATGGACGATTTTTAAATGGCTCTCCTCCACAAACTGAGTAAAAAACTCAGATGCCATCATTTCTTCAAAAGGGGTGTAACCAGCATCCAATTTTTAAGGCTTGCCATCTACACTAATGGGTTGACTATCACTCTTATAACGCTCTCACAGCTTAAGGTGAGGGGAATAATTTGTGATATCGCATGGATTCGCCAACTCCGAAACCTATAGTTCTACCACAGACCCAACCCGAGCCTAAAAGAACAATAGCAACTACAGAATTTAATTTGGATTTGTTTGTTTGTTTTGAATTTCGCGCAAAGCTACAC